CTTTATGTTTTTTTGACGATTTCTTTTGCTTGATTTGGTCTTTTCTGAAGACCAAATCAAGCTGATCACAAAAAATTAGAGTCAGAACATATGAACTTATCCAGAATCACGAGTTTACAGATATACCGGTTTACTGAAACGTTTTTTTTTTAATGTTTCATGACATAAAGTGTGTTCTGGCGTTAAATCGTATTCGAGCGTGTATTCGTAGTGACGTCATTAATGATAAGATTCTCCAGAATGGAATGATTCAATTTGTGTCAGATGTCAAATTCAATAATGAAAACGAACTTCCAATTTTCCCCAATCTCGATTAGAATCGGATTTGTGATTACCATAATTTCCCAGTTTTATTTTGTACATCCTTACAACGTATTTGATAAAAAGTTTTCAGCACTTTATAATCTATAACTATCAAAATACAACAGAAACTGACAACTGACGAAATGTAACGTCAAATTCCGTTTCAAAACCAACCTCACGCTAGCTTTGAATCGTTATGAATACGTTTTAAATCAAAGTTGACGTCATCGTTTGAACCCCAGAATGAATGTATTTGAATCATAGACGAATACGTTTCGAAAACATGAGCGCCAGAAAACGCCTATAGTTATCACCTCACTTGGGACTTCATTGAACAAATTCAAATCAAGGGAATTACTAACTGAAATAGAAAGTCTAAACCGGGCCATTATCAGATGAATATTATTCCTTGATATTATTCCTATTACTATAGTATCACGAACGTGTAAGACTACATACTCATTGTATAACATATTGTGTGGTACAACGGTTTCTATACTTACTTAAAGCATACGCCCCTACGTAGAAAATGAAGAGACTCTCTCTGTAACCGATTCTTTTTGAAACGGGTTCCACAGCTATAGGCAAGTTTCCTCCGATGTTGTTCATTACAAAAAGAAATACGCCTATTGTTGTTGACCTGACTTTCAATGGAACGATTTCCACGACCATGGCAAAGAGGATTCCAAACCACATCTCAGCTAAAATATTATAATAATGATAACTTTTTGCATTACTGAACGCAGTTACATTAGATAAGTAAATTTTCAATAGATACGGAAGTAGCATTCAGTATCCACTATCCACCATAGATGAAAAAAAACTAAATTGGACATTGTGTTATCATTTACCACATTGAGAATGCTATTTACACGCTTTATTTACACACTTATTTATAATAATATACATTAGTCTTATGATATTTTACAATTTCATGCACAACATGCCTAGTCGCCAGAACAACGCCATGATCTTCGTATGTCCTTCTCCCTCATCCCGCTTTTCAGTCAGTGTCAACTGTCATTTCACAGTACATGTTTTAGCGACACAACTAACTATGCACATATATTACAGACATCAATGAACCTTTTTCCTGAAGTACGAAAAATCACTCAGTAGCAGCGCTAGTAGTTCGGTAGGGACAAACACTGCCTAATCCTCATATGAACATATGGTAAAGTACATTTCAAAAAGAATGTTTATAACAGAAGAAAATGTTCCTGGAGCAACACTATAATTTGCAACTATAAAGGATAACAATGTTGTAACAATAAAACGTTGGCTTGCATGCCGTAATTTAAAAGTAACTGAAAAAAAAAGTGAATTGATAGATAGGTTAGTATACAGACTCTAGTAAACGAGTAGCGGTAGATTCAAACTGTAATAAGAGAAATTTGAAATGATTATGAATTTCAGACTTATTTCCGAGTGAAATATGAATCAAATATAGATGGTGATGGAATAAATTTAATTAAATATAGTAAATGAATATAATTTATAGACAGGTTAGTATACAGATTCTAGTAAACGAAAAGCGGTAGATTCAAACTGCAATAAGAGAAATTCAAAATAATTATGGATTTCAGACTTATTTCCGAGTGAAATATGAATGAAATATAGATGGTGATGGAATAAATTTAATTAAATATAGTAAATGAAAATAATTTGATAAATGATTGAGGTTACATTTCATACTAATCAATGGTAATTAACTATGAACAATTTACTATTCATTTCATGTTTAGAGCATATATTATATGAGTATTTATTCATTTTTTGCACTGTTAAATCCACTCTCCTCGAAGCATGTATCCATTTTTTACATCTAACCTCTAATATGAGGTTTTATAAATGGTATAAAAAACAAGTTTTCTTACGGATATCGATTATCCGACGTACAATTCGCAAAACAGCAATGCTTTGCTTGCATTATACTTGCAGAAAATAATTTTGTATATCAGATTTATATTTTCAAATAATAAATTAATATTACGTAAATAACACTGTTTTACTTGTGAATAGTTTATGTTTGTCCCTACTACTAGTGCTGCCTCTCGTGACACGTTTGCTGTACTATTCTCAGGAAAAAGACCCATTATAAAGTCGAAGAGAAACAGAAATTATAGCTTGTCATGCACATGACACACTGGAAGGTGATATCGAGGTTCACTTGAATAAATGCGTGATGAGAAGCAATTTCAAAACATCGCTGACTGTAATTGAGCTGTCAGTCAAAACAGACATATTTGTGTATATACTTATACTCACCAAAAAAATATGATATACCGAGCGTTATCATAGCCCAGGTAGGTGTGCAGAACACACTTCCAAAGGCGAATGGCGTGGAAAGTAGTTGACTCACTGCAAGTACGACACATCTAGATCGGATTCCCATTTTTGCTACGATTTTGTCTGATATGATACCTCCTACAACTACTCCTATAGAACCGATGACGATTGTGACGGCAAAAAGCCACCAACCTGAAAATAATGAAAAAATTATAATCATATTTGTTTTTCTTGACAGAATGAACATGGTTTTTTGATGTTTCTGTCTGTTTAAAATATGTTTTTCCTTTAACCAGCTGTCGCACCCACCCCTACAAACAACAACTCTCAGAAATCGAGCTCAGGACTAACGAGGTCTTACCTTTTAACGTGTGATTCCTAACACGGATTGTACGGTAGGAAGTGAATATCGATCGTCCGACTTTGCGGTTCGAGCGATCGTTTTTTTCTACATTAAGGGTTTCGTGATGACTGAATGGGTTCCAGAGGGTCAGACTGTTAACCAGACTTACTATTTGTTAGTTTTGGCAACACTGCGAGAGCGAGTTCGTAAGAAACGGCCCGAGTTGTGGAAGAACAACTCATGGATTTTGTACCAGGATAACGTACCTGCCCATAACGCGCTATCTGTGAAGCGGTGTTTGGCTGATAAACGCAGTTCAGTACTCCAACACGCGCCGTATTCGTCAGATTTGGCACCGTGCGACATTTATTTGTTTCCGAAGTTAAAATCTGCTTTGAAAGGAACCTGATTTGAGTCGATGGAAGTGGTAAAGCAAAAAACGTAAGGGAATGTGTATGGTGGGGAAGGGGAGTATATCGAAGGGGAGCATTCGAATGTAGAATAATTTATATAATGAAACCCTTTTTCGTAACCAGTCTCGTTATTTAATAGCCGGATCTCGTATCTATCTCTTCATCTTCAATTTTTTCTAGAAACCCTTGGAGACAAGTGATTGTTTTGAAAATATGATTCACTCACCTAAATCATAATCTGGGAAATAGGTCTGATAGTAAAGATCGCAGTTGTAAGCGAAACACATTCCACCGCAATGCCTGATTGAAGCGGCCAGACACAGGAGGATGACTCTTGGATCTTTGATGACGTCCCAGATGGTGATTTTCTTAGTATCTCCTTGCTCGTTTTGCGTCGCTGCTTCTCCTATGGCAGTACGTTCGGGTTCCTTCAGCGTGAACCATGTTAGCAGAGCTAGGATTATGGCTACGATTCCTGCTCCGTAGTAGGTGACTCTCCAACCCAAATCAAAGGAGTTCATTTGTGGAACGTAGCGACCAACCGGAAAAGCGATACCTGGGGAAAATAAAATGANTAAATCTTCGTATTCCATTATATTCAATATTTAATAAATCTGAACTGTTTATACTATAACAATCAACAATAAAACTATTTTCCTTGGGTAAGTTGACATCAATAATTATGCAGTGCTTCGGTTTTGTTGTTATGGAAACGCCGACAATGGGCTACTTGTATATTGCACGCGAATCGTCGGGGGAGCGTTGTCAACATGGAGAACGTGTCATATCAATCTGACATGTAACAATTCATGACTGACTTGGGTTATCGCGATAACAGTGAGAAATTATTTCTCACTGTAATGGCAGATATTTCTCACTGCGTGAGTAATCTTTCGTTTTGAACGTATGAAGTGGCACTTTGTATATCGTCCGTAAAAAAAAAGTATTTTTGTACGGCACTTACAGGTAGATAACGACCCAAACACTGTTAAAATCTTTTATTTGCGACCCATTTGCGATATGAGAAATTGGTGGACCCAGGAAAGTATCATAAACCCGCCTATACCAGCTGTCGTTAATCATAATGAAATCTCAAAATTCCATTTGAGCACAGTGTTAGCGTTTTACAGTTATAATGAGCATCTATTACTTTTTACTAATAGCTACTAGAAGTTTTAGTCATATCCGATTCTAATTTTCAATTTACAGTTTGAATTTTGAAAGTTTTATTCATTTTTCAAAAACTATATATCTATATGTATATGTTTTTTTCCGTTAACCAGCTGTCGCACCCCTACGAACGATAACCCTCAGAAGTCGAAACTTGAGCGAGCTAAGGACTAACGAGGTCTTACCTTTTAACGTGAGATTCCTGTACATGGGTTCGACTTAGCTTTCAAATGAGAAACTATCCAGTCCCCAATTCTATCCAAAATTTTTTTAGGACAGTGACATGTGCATGTCAAATACTCGTAGTGTCATTTTATAAATAAAACTTGTCGTATTTTAGAATTCTCCTTGAATATTACCAATAATATAGAAAAAAGATTTGTTCATTACTTCTGGATCATACTCTATAAATATCTTATGAAGGGTGAATCATAATATATAAATTCATGCCTACTTTCAGATTCTTCACTATATTTCAGCTATATCATAACAATAGTGATAATTAACTTGTGTGTTCAATGATGATGCTTGCACCTGAACTTGATTATTGAAATTGCAAGGAACGTTTTTCAAAAGATTTACGATGAGAGTGACCTAGCGCATGGTGAAGTTAATTATATACATTCAAGTATTGTGATTATAATTGTTATTTTCGTATAAATAAAGATGACGGCAATAAATCTGTCAATATTGAACAATCGAGCATAAACATTGTGTTGGAAATGTAATCATTTTATTTCTTCCGTTGAAGAAATGAAAAGATATAAGAATGTTCCAATTGTTACAGAAAATTTGCAATAGTAGAAACACAAAATATTGATTTTTCAAAAGAGATTCAATTTCAGTTCCAGGAAAATATTGAAACCGTCCAAAAAGGCGAAAAGTTCTATGGATATTTTGTAGATATCATCCAGAGAATAGTTGAGAGCATTGAAAGAAATATACACTTGCTTTTTTCTCGCTTCAAACTACTAACCTCGAGAAAGTTGGGAAAAATAATTTCATCAAATGATGATAAATGTAGCGTTCATGGAATTTTGAACTCAAAAATAATGAAACACATTCACCACATGTGGACACGCTATTTTGAAAGGGCCAATTTCCATAAGCAGCCAAAATAACTACCACCATTCCCATTCCTCCAGTTAGGTAATAACGCCAGTATATCGCGTGAATTCAGGCCTATGAATATCACTCCTTCCATTGAAATAGTAAAGAAAATCACAGTATATAATCAATTATTGGAGGTCAGAGGGAAGAATCAATTTTTTTCATTCCCCAATTTGGCTTTTGAAAAAAAACTCTCCTGCAAATCTGCTCTACGACTATCAATAAGTAGATTATACTGTGACTTTAATGATGGCAAGTATGTTGTAGCGGTTTTCCTAAACCGGGAAAGGCTATTCGAAACAATAGAAGGGTGTATACTTCTTCGTTAATATAAAATTCATGGAATTGGTTGTGTGGTTTATGATTAGTTTGAAGATAACATAAAATATAGAAACAGAGACTTACCTATCAATGAATATACCTGTCAGATTTGTACAACTATATAGGTGTACCTCAGGGAAGTGTGCTTGGTTCTTTACTATTTATTGTGTACCTAAATGACTAAATCAATTCCCATATGGTACCTTCAAGTTTGTAATTGAACAGTTCTTACAAACAAACTCAAATTGAATGTATCCAGATGTAAAGCCATGTTATTTACGAGAAAATTCTGATATAACGAGATAAATCTAAATTCAATACATATTATGTTGGAAAATTAAAGAATTTGATTAGTAACAACTATATAAAGTATTAAAATTACAATTAGATGAATGTCTAAGCTTCGATATCATTTCGATTATGTAAAAAACAAATTCAAGAAAATTTTACTCCTTTTCTGGAACAGTTTGTTAAAAGTTGTATGACTTAAGCAAATTCAAATCCAAGATAGAGTGGATGTAAACATTGATATACCCTACGCACGTGATATTGAAAATCCCAAGAATTGGCCAGGCTCATATTCAGAACCCACATCTTGTTGATCGCAAATGCTATATCATACTTAGGAAAACTTTTTTATAATAACGAGTGAAATGCACAAGTTTTGCAGTTTAACGGGAAAAATGCAGATAATATGTGTAATATAAAAAGATTTTCATTGGATTTTTCACAGCGCACTCAAGCATTATATGAAAAGAAACGTAATTATTCCTTTATTGATAATTTTTATTTAATGTAAAATCAAAAGGAATATTAATCAAAATTATTCAACTGGATGAATTTGTCTCTTCATCAGTAGTGTC